GAACCCCTTCTCTTTCAAACTAAACACTGCTCAAAATTTTTCAAAGAAATACGTCACTGTTTGTACTACTTCTAAAAAGATACTAAGAAAAAACGTCACTACTATAGCACTTGTTTACCCAGATACCACCCCTCTTTAATAATATTTACAGTTCATTACATTTGTACCCCTTGATCCGTTGTGATGGTGATAGTTGTATACTGCCTGGCAGACAGACTGAGTTCGGTAACACCATTGACTGCCTCGATTTCAAATGTATAGTTGACATGAGATAAGAAGTCCAGGACAATGACAGAGGCATTGAGCAGGCCAGAATGTTGAGGTACAAACCGAATTCCTCCACCGCACAGTTCACATTGGTTGATGTCCATTCCACATTTTTTGCAGATCACATTGTAGAAAAGGTCCTTTCTGCCACCAGTGTCGAAAGGCGGACTCCACTCCAGATAAAGAGCAGTTTCATTTATGTTGAAATTGACATTTCTTGGAGCTGAAGGAGGTTCTGCAAGCCAAAAATAAACAATAGAGAAAATAACAAATGAGATCAATCTGGGTGACATCCCACCTCCGTGCACTTGTTTCGGGCACATAGCTTGATTTCCCAGTTGCAGTCTATGAAGCAATCATTCCTCCAATAATCAAGTCTTAGTTAGTAATCAGCCACCTACTGGGACATTGCAAGCACTGCCAAGAGCACTTACTTCAGACCCTTATGAAATTGCATTTAGCTCTAGAAATCTAATGATTTAATTTAAAATGTGTTAAAAATTCATGTCTCCTTAACATCTCATCTATTTTGCAACTGAAAACTAGCCAAGGCAAGCAATACAAAATAATCCCACACCATTGAGATAAAAGATCAAAGGTGGCATACAACAGGTGCTGCTTTCTTAATGGAGAGAGACAACTTCAAAGGCATGCTATCATTTGGCATTCTAAAATTTTGCTGTAAGAAATATTAAATTTTGCCTCTGGTTTTAGTCAACCTGCATCTGACCTCCAAATGCAATTATAACATATTTAAATGAAAAATAAATTTAAATCACAAAAGCCTAGTTATATTATCTTTTTTTGTATAATGTTCCATAGGAGATACTGTCCTTTGCCTTGTTGAACATTTTCAGATCTGACAGTCCTGATTTAGTAGTATGTGATAATGTGACAACAAGACCTAAAGTACACCTGTCGGCACTCTACACATCTACTCACAATTAGAAGTTTGAAGGGAACATGGGTGTATCTCTCCCTTTCTTTCTTGTTTCACTTCTAATCATACTTTAATAATTGAGACTCAAAGTTACTTAACGTAGTTCTTCAGTAATATCTGATGTTTGGCCATAAGGGATCAGCTAAACATTCTCAACTCCCAACAAATAAAGTGAATCTGACCCTTTCAGAGCTTAGTGTGACAGTTTGCTCAGTCGAGAGAGGACTGTGAAATCGATGAATGTTGCCAGTTGGAATTAGGGATTCTGCAGATTATCTGCTAATTCCATTAATCAGAATCTGTATATTCAGGAGAATCAGTTACATCTAATTAGACATGAATTGTAAACTGATCCTACCATCTCTATTGGACACTTACAGCTAAATAGAAAAACTGTAAAGTGATAAACTGATAACACTCAGCAAACTGGTACTGTACCGGTGCTGTAAGGGGTGTTCTCATTTTACACGCCTATTGCTGACACATCACCCCCCACTAACGACAGCTAAATGTGCACCTGACCGCACCTTAATGGGTTTGTTCACCTTTACAAAAAAACTGCCTTCTGCAGATAAGGGGTGTGTAGACAAAAACAAACTGCAGTTTTGGCTAAAGTTGAATTTTGCCTTTGCTATAGGTGTAGGCCAGGAGTAGGCAACCTGCGGCTCTCCAGCTGTTGCAGGACTACAAGTCCCATCATGCCTCTGCAAGTCATAGCTGTAACTGTCAGTTTTGTAATGTTGCAATGCCTCATGGGAAATGTAGTTCCACAACAGCTAAAGAGCCGCAGGTTGCCTACCCCTGGTGTAGGCCATTCACATACCTGTCAACGACTGACTGGAATACTCCCAGGACATTGCTAGGATGTTGGCAATTGTGGCCTAGTCATTACTGCTCATCTTCTCCATCACAGGAGTGAACTTTTTCTCTGATTCATACCCCTTCATGTGTTCTTTCTCTCTCCTGATGCAGTAGCTCTGAACTAAGCATGTTCACTCGTCTGATGGAGGAGGTGAGCAGTAATAATTAGGCCTCACGCAACATCATAGCAATGTCCTGGGAATATTTCAGTCAAGCTTCAGGAGGTATGTTAATGGCCTATACTTATAACGTAAGCATTATTCAACTTTAGTCAGAGGTGAACTGACCCTTTAAGAATGCCTCAGCAGCCAACGGGACACAAGTGCAGGATCACAATGGTACCTACAATTATAAGTAACCCACCCCTTCCTGATGATAAGCTTCACATTCTAACAATAAATTGTCAAATAGCAGAGCCACTACAGTGCACTAAAGTTGAGTTCTGCACCAATGGTGTAGAAATGCAGTCACCCTACAAAGCCTACAAAGATCATATGTCCTAAGATTGATCACTGTAGAGTCCCTTGGATTCCACGTTCAGGCTGCACACAGGGTGATTGAGATTAACCCAATGCTTCTAATGATCATCTCCACCATTTGATATTGAACATGCAAATGGCAGAAATAAAGTTCTGGCATTTGACAATCAAATGACAGTGGGTTGTGGACAGTACCTAATACTGATGCAACGAGACATTGAGTTTCCAATGTTCAGTCTGGGCCTTGGATTCAAGGGACTCCGCAGGGACATAGGAGTCACTTCAAAGACAGCAGGGATAAATGGGAAAACCAAATACATGTTTCAGATACAGAAACAAGGTGGGAAAATCAGATACTAAATAAGACTACTACTAAATAAATTAAAAGTGCAGCAAATTTGCATTGCATTTGTTATCAAAAGCATACTCAAGGGTGAAGATCTATTAAACATTTTGAGTAGGAGTGGACATACTGTCCCAAAGGACAAAGAGGGCTTTCAGGAGGGGTTCACAATGAAGAAAAGCTCCACCTTGTCTGCATATCTGGGTCTTCTATAGAAGGGTCAAACCCTATTTTGAAAGACTGTTGTCAAAAAAATCACCAGTGAACATACAGTATATATGTCAGATGGACATTTGATGTTTTTTAAATTAAAGCACTCTTTTTACTCACATGAACAATTTAAACTGATGATTACTGTGATAAAAATGCATTATCAGAGATTACCTTCAGTGAAAACTGTATGTTGAAATAATCCATAGATCAGGATATATAGTCAACTGAAATTATGCCCGTTATTATTATCCCATCTTCCAAACGTATCTATTGGATGGAAAGACCACCCATCATTAGCCCATTCATTGCACTGGACTTGTTAATACAGTAAAACTGTAATTTTTTGCATCTCAGATGGCCAATCCAATTGGGCATCCTCCCATATATACCAAGCATGTGCATTTCAGATGCCTTAATACTTCACTGGCTGCATGCTTGTTCTTGATCAGTGACTCGATGCATACTAAAGCAAGGTTATAACTAAATGCACCGGATAACGCACCTTTAAATAAATGTTAAATGGCAGCTTTCACACTTGTGTCCTGGCAGGGTCCTGTTAAGGAGCCAAATTATACTGAGCAGCCAACAGAGACTCACATTGCCTTACAAATAATATTATATGCATACACTAGCTATTTTGGCAGATGCCTGAGTTGCTGACGTGCCCATCTGGGCCCATTTATCAGGCCTTTTATGTCTATCTATGTACTGTTATTCTGTGTACTGTACTAAGGTTTTTTAGTTTTATTGATGCAGTGAACAATCTTTACTAATAAAGACATCTTGTCATGCTAAAGCTTAAAGCCTCGGCTGATAGGTATTAATCAGGGAGATCTGAATCCATACTATGCAGCCAAATAGAATTTAATGTGTTGAACAGCCTTGACAGTAGCTGCACAAAATATAATCCACCAAGCATGGCACTGAGAATATAAACAAAAATGTGTTATAACTGTTTATCAGATTAATGTCGAGAGTGGGAACTAAAATGACTTTATTAATGAAGTCCAGTGCAATCATCAGTCAGTAATATCAGCTTGGACGATGACAAAAGTGAAACGCGCTGATTAAGTGAGTAATTAAAATGTGTTCCACATTCCCTGTAATTTGTCACACTATATAATGTGTATTTGATAAAATAAAGAGGCCAGCACAGTGGAAAAAATAATCATGAGAAATTAATTGTTGTATAGTGGAGAAGGTAAATGAAAATATTAGGTTAATAAAGTATGTATCTATTTTTAAGAGCACCTGTCAGCAACAGACAATGGAGAGGTGGTGTAATATATTGCAGCTACCTGCTTTTAAATACTGTGTTAATTTTCTTTTTTTCAGCATTTTTCATTTATTTTCATCTGGTGAAACTACCACGTTATTTGAGTAGGTCCCACTTCTACTTAAAACAGCCTTGACATGTAGGGGCAAGGATACCACTAGACCTCTGAAGATATGTTGTGGTATATATCCCACTGACTTTAACCGCTTGCCCTCCAGAGGATTTACCCCCCTTCCTGACCAGGCCATTTTTTGCGAAATGGCGTGGCATTACTTTAAGTGACAATTGCGCGGTCATGCAACTCTGCACCCAAATGAAATTTATGTCCTTTTTTCCCGTAAATAGAGCTTTCTTTGACCTGACAATTTAAAAAAAAAAAACAAAACAATATTTTTTTACTTTTTGCTATGAAACATATCCCGAAAAAAAATTTAAAAAATCAAATTTCGGCATTAATTTAGGCCAAAATGTATTCTGCTACTTGTCTTTGCTAAAAAAATCCCAATATATGTAAATTAATTGGTTTTATGTGAAAGTTATGGCGTTTACAAATAGGGCTATATTTACTTGAATTTTTTTTTTCATACTAGTAATGGCGATGATCAGCAACTTATAGTGAGACAGCGGGACTGCAGCGGGCATTCTGTCACTCGGTGGGAACTGACTAACTACCACTGACATCCCAATGACTAATACAGTGATCAGTGCTAATAAAAAGCACAGACAATGTACTAATGACACTGTGCAGGAAGGGGTTAACATCTGGGGTGATCAAAGGGTTAACTGTTTGCTGTTTTACAGTATGTGCTGTGTGTGTTTTACTAGGGAAACATGCTGCTGTGTATTTCTCTGCTGTGCTGTGCAGAGAAATACACAGCAGAATGTTACTGCTGGCAGGAGAGAGACCTGTGTTGTTTACACACAGGTCTCTCCCCTGTCAGTGTAACTAGGTGATCGCCGGGTGCTGGCGGGGAATTTCCGGCCGGGACCCGGTGATTGACATCTGTAGCCGCCAATGGCGATGCGGGTAGGGCAGCGCGCGTACCCCCTACCCGGAAATGCAAATCACATATATATATACATGATTTTGCGCAGCCTTGACACCCTGTAGCAGTAGTTCTACTAAAGGATGGTGGAAAAGCGGTTAAGATTCCATTGTAACAAGTTAATTAATGTTATTCACTTAACCTAAGCAAAACGGAAGTGAGCGCTAGATAAAGAGCTGCTGTACGCCAAAAGGTACCAATAAACCTACAGAAAACATGTAAAGAGAGGAGGATGCAGCGCTAAGGATAATGAAATTACCTCTGATATATAAAAATATAGCAAACAATATAAGAATATGTGACTATCTTGTGCTAAAACAACGTGCCAAAAAAGTCCTTAGAAATAACAAAATGGTGATTCAAAACGTGCGTCTTCTGGTGATCAAAATTAATTGAATCATGCACTCACCAGATGCATAATTCAAATATGCATGTAGATAATAATATCCAGATATCCAAGCGAAGTCATCTTAAAGTCGGATATGGCATCTTAAGGTCACCGTCTAGGCACATCTGTCCATCCGAGCTCTCCTTATGGATCGTGTGTTTCCACACTAAAACACCTCTCAGCTGTCTTCCCAGGTGGCTCTGCGGGTGGTGGACTCAACAGGGTCCCAAGAAAGAAAGCCAGGATGGTGTGATATAGTTTTAAATGAAAATTTATTGATCCAAAATAAGACAAGGACTAAACAAACAAAACTGACCATAAAAGGTGTACAAAGATGGCCGCCGCTCCCTATGAATACGTGCATTTAGCACGAAACATGTCAGGGAAAGAGCAGCATACCCCAGACATCACGCCACTGCATGGAGCGGCGGCCATCTTTGTACACCTTTTATGGTCAGTTTTGTTTGTTTAGCTGAGAGGTGTTTTAGTGTGGAAACACACGCTCCATAAGGAGAGCTCGGACGGACAGATGTGCCTAGACAGTGACCTTAAGATGCCATATCCGACTTTAAGATGACTTTGCTTGGATATCTGGATATTATTATCTACATGCATATTTGAATTATGCATCTGGTGAGTGCATGATTCAATTAATTTTGATCACCAGAAGACGCACGTTTTGAATCACCATTTTGTTATTTCTAAGGACTTTTTTGGCACGTTGTTTTAGCACAAGATAGTCACATATTCTTATATTGTTTGCTATATTTTTATATATCAGAGGTAATTTCATTATCCTTAGCGCTGCGCCCTCTCTTTGCATGTATTCACTTAACCTGTCAGTGGCCATAAACTTATGGCTGATTGGTGTAAATATTTGCTTGATTAAAAATAACTTTTTACTCCTGACTATGAAAAAAAACAGACAATATTTACATATTTGCATATCTATACATTCCCTTTATTTACTTGTGAAAGGAACCTAGAGCTCCAAACTTTAGATGGAATTACAATCAGCTTTAGACAATATTTAACAAAATATGTCAATAAACTGCTAATGCTATTCAGCATAGCAAACCAAGTCCATTTAGCTTACCTGGTTCTAGGTTCTATGTAATTCATATGATCTTTAAACTATATTTGAAGGCAACACTTTGATTTTAAGTTTTATATAGTTGGGAAGGGGATTTGCATACCTAGTATATCTGGCAATTGGAGTTGATCAATTTTTTACATCCCACCCCCAACACCCACAAAAAGTATCTGTAGCAAAAAAGTACCGCATACAGTACCCTAGATTGAAATTCAGGTGTGGCTAAATTTCACTAACAGGGGTCCTATACACAGTACGCATATGCCAAAGTCCTTTTACCTTGTGCCACAAACTGGAGTTCAAATCACCGATCCTAGCTTACTGCTTTAGTACAGATCTCCATTCCTGTTTACCCCCTCAGTGTAGACACCTCTCAGTACAGACCTCCCACTCCAAGCCTACCCCCTCAGTAAAGGTCACCAACACCCTCTTCCCAAAAACAGACTCCAGCCCAACCCCCCAGTATAGACACCCCCCTCCAGCCCAACCTCTCAGAACAGACCCCACTCACCAGCCAACCTTCCCCAGCACACACCTTCCTTCAGTACAGACCTTCCCTCTTTAACCTATCATATAAAGTGGACATTCAGAGGGGAAGTCCTCCTCTAAGCTGAGTCATGTGAGCAGAGCAGAGAAGGAACCTCTCCTTGAATCCTAACTGCTGTTATCAAGCAGGGAGAAGCTGCACTGCAGTGCAAATACCATAGTGCTGTAGCAAATAAAAAATGTGAAGTTGCAACGCCCCCAAAGTGTCAAGATCAGGGTTTTTTCTCAGCTGGAACTTGGTGGAACTCAGTTCCACCACCTCTGGCTCAAGCCTTCTGCTCTCTGCTCATCACTATCACTTGTAAATAAAAAAGTCCAGAGGGGGGGAGAAGATGGGGGTAGTGGGGGGGGGGGGGGGTTGCATGCAGAGGTCAGAGCTGAAGAGGGGTGAAAGTGAGATGTGGATATGTAAGAAGGTTGAACTCTGCACTCTGTGTTTAGGGCACCCCTGAACTCTGCAGTCTGTATGCAGCGCACCCCTGAACTCTGCAGTATGTACATAGCGCACTCTTGGACTCTGCACTCTGTGTGTAACCCCCCAAACTCTGCACTCTACACATAATGCACTCCTGGTACAGTATTTAATGCTGCTTTAAGACCCTCCTGCTGTTTTTGAAACTGACCACACTCACTATTTGATGCAGTTTGGAGGGTGTGTGTGTGTGTGTGGGGGTGTCAGGGCTCCCGGGTGTGACCAGAGGTATGTGACTGACGCAGGGAAACGCAGACTTCAGATATGTTATAAACAATGTAATTTATTAACACTAACAATACAAACATAAACGCAGTGCAATACTAAAACATAACACAGAGCAAACAAACCAAACCAACCACCCACAGATAACAGTACATACAATGCAAGCGTCGTCAGGCAGGCCGGGTCAATATAAATCGGGCAGGTAGGTACAGGGGGAGCAAGCGGAGAATGGTCGGGGTCACAGGCCAGGTTCAGCAGGTAGCGGGCAGCGTGGTACAGAGGGTCAGGCAGAGGGATGGTCAGGGTCACAAGCCAGGGATCAGAACAGGAGAAGTCAGCAGAGGTCAGAATCAAGCAGGGTCAGCAACAAGACAGGAACAGGAACAGGAACGCAGGTTTACAAGATACAGGGCCCAGGAAAAACACACACCAAGGCAGAGTCTGCAGGTCTGGCCATCCCTTAAATACACCAGTATAATTAGTTCCAGGTGTTTGACTGGCTGCAAGGTTGAGTCTCTGATTGCTGGGAGCACCCGCTGGCCAGCCCTGGTACTGCAGCTCATAAGGCAGGTGAGTCCCACTATTGCTGGCCAGTCCATTCCTGACAGGGGGATTGTGGGTTGTGTTTGAGTTCCTGCGCCTATTTTCTGAGAAAAAAAGCCCTGGTCAGGACCCTGTTTTAACGGGAACCCTTGCCCCCCCAAAGTACAGCATTGATTATAAGCGCTCTATGGTTTATATAGCTGTTTGTGTGTCGTCACTGGGAAGAGTCACCCCTTTGTTGGATTGTCTATCAGCAGGACAGACAATAGAAGGAAAATTCAAAACAGAAATACTGGGGAAATCGTCCAAAGGAAAACCTGTTCTGGTGACATCTTTCGAAAAAGAAATGTCCCTTCAATTGAAGAGTTAGCCATTTCCTTCAAGCTGTGCTACTAGGACAGGAAATTAAAGGAAATCTCCCCAACAGGATAAAGACTGCAAACAAATATCTGACAGCGGGTTTAACTGTAGCCTAGTCTATTTAAAATAAATAGCTTTAGATACACTTTTTAATTCTGCATCAGTATCTTGTCAAATGTTGCTCTGCTAAGCATTATCTTCCTCTCTGAGCAATAGCAATTAAACTACAAGGGGTGAGTCTCAAATTAACCAACCTGAATATTCACTTGTCTCAACATCGTTTTGTTCTAGAACACCAGATTACCAGTAAATGTAGGATTTTAAAGGTAACCAGCACTAGGAGAAATATATGTTTAAATACACAGCTCAGAAACAAGCAAGGAAGCTGTCAAACAAATATTACTTCTGTCCATCCACTCCTGAGATTCATACATCTCTGCCAGACTGTACAGCCAGCCTGGTGACCTAACTTTTTTCTGTTGCAGTTAAGAATTGACACTTTCCTTCCCCTTAGTCTATGATTGGTTAGTAAAGGAAAAGCAACAGAGTGATCTTATCTTCCATGCTCTCTCCTCCTGTCAGCATGTTCCTTGTTAGCACAAGTGCATGTAAGATACCTGTTTGGCACCAGTTTTGCTCCTCCCTCTTCCAATGTTACTGTACAGGGCATTACAAATGGCTGAATTAAAATTCAGGGATTTTTACTAGTATCACTAGTGTATGTATGTAAAATGTATACACTAGTATAAATGTAATGATTATTAAATAAGTATATAACTGAATTCATTTGTATTTTTTTATTATCTGCCTGGCATTCAGCTTTAAGAAATGTGAGCACTACAGCACTACTTCTTTTTTGAAAATCAGAAAGTAAGTTGACTTTGTATCCCATATTAATTGCATGGCTTAAAGAGTAACTTCACTTTTGCTGAGAAAAAAAAACATTGCACATTACAGTGATAGGATTTTAACAAACTTTGTTGCAGATTCCCACCTTTTGTCATTCTGAAGAAGTAAATGTTTGTTTGTTTGTTTGTCTGTGTCCATGTGCAGAGTGAATGTGTATGGGAGTGACTGATTGATTATCAGTCAGCTGCTGCACCTGCAGGATAGTAATGAGGAAAATTGCAGGGTCTGCATCCCTTTAGATGTGGCTTTCCATATGGATTATTTTACCATAAATTACACTTTTATTGCAGGGGATGCCAAAAATCTGACTTGTATCTTATTGTCTTATTGAAAACTACTGGGAAAATCAGTGAGCCAATCATACAAGTAGGAATTTACATTTTCAGGGGGCGTTCTGTTCACGCTGAGTGTACA